AGGGGTGGAAGTGCTGCGCCATTTGCGCCAATATGACCTGCTGCACCTAACTGCGATTTCCGTGTGCAACGCCAAATTTAGTAGAGATTTATCATCGAACAAACAACATGCGCGGGCTACACAAAGGATGCAACCGCGTCCATATCAAATCAGTTCGGTCACTTCGTATTTTGGTTCATGCATGAATCTTGTTAGCGGGGCGTTTGTGTGCATACCTCATTACGCGACTCCATATATGGTTTAACAGCAATGTTGTAGGCCCGTGTGCTCAGATTTGGGTGCACGTTAAAGAACCCCAGGTGGTCAAAATTTCCGGAGCCCTCCACTACGGCGTCTCTCATAATCAAATAGTGGTTTTGGGACGTTAAACCCCACAAATCAATCAATCAATCAATGGTTTAACAGCAAAGCTGCTGGCCGAACCATATAAACTGAAAAAAAAAAATAAGAATCAGTTTCACCGGTGAAGCGATGTCTGCAATAGCAAGAATTTGTAATGTTGTAGTAATGCCGCACGCGCTTCTTTTCTATTTTTGCGACTGCACCGGTACGCGTGTAACCATGCATTGCGCAAACTGAACCTGAATGATTGGGAACAAACTAGATAATCTTAGAACTTTTCGATGAGATAGCGTGCACAACGCTTACATTAAAGTTTGTTTGGGAATGAACACAGCCACTAGTGATAAAGCTGAAATTTTCGATGGCACATGTATAAACGTCGACGCATTTTGCTGCTTGGCAGCTCATCGACAGCTGACGCTTTGGTTTGCTGCTATCAGTCTACAGCTTCTATTGCTTGTAGAGCAACGTTTTGTTTTCCGGGCAAAGGTTTGCCCAAATAAAGTTTACTCATGAAGACAGGGGCAGCTGTCTTCGTCATCCTCACGACCCATGACGATTCGAAGGCTGAAATGTAACTCTTTTAGATCTGGCATCGTGACACTCTACAAAATGCTGGTGTAATAGAATAAGTACGTCTCTTCCTGTTGAGAGCGCACCACGTAGAACGGTTTATGAGCCGCACACTCATCGTTGCTGATAGCGCACGCACCAGCTTATTGCAACCATGTACTTAGAATCAAAGTTCACTGCTGCTGCAGGAGCGACCCGCTCCCCCCTCCTTTTTTCCTGCATATTTTTGCATGCTCGTTCAAGACGGGCAGCGTGTTTCATCTCTGCTTGAGCATTCGACGGTAGGTCTAACACGCGGTGGGATGCTATGGTGTACGCCCTCCGAGCCACAGAGATCAGCGGCCTCGTATACTTTCTGCTTGAGCAGCGCTCATCACCCCAGCTTGCACAGTTTTATGCGTGGGTAGAACGTACGATGCCCGGGGAGTGTTAGCAACTTGTAGTTTACGCGGAACATGACGACGACGACAAAAACTCGTTGAGTGTCCATAGAGTTTCTATCGTAATAAAAAAAGGACTTGATTGCCTAGCAATGGCGCGGCGAGCCCATCTAAATTTCTTTGCGGTTCTCATGTCGGCTGTGGCACTACAGTGACCGGAACTTAAGTTTTTTAAATTTATTTTCATAGAGCTGTATTGGTTTAGTATGAACATAACTTTTATTATATTAGTTCATCTCTAGTTTTGAGCTGCTGTAAATGTTGAATGCGGTGTTTTAATCACATTTTGAACATTACTGCAATTTAACAACGAATTTTTTTATTTATCTGACTAGCTGTTCAAAGCACCGTTTTTGTTTTTTGTTTGAGTTGCTGTGCTTTCAGCTTTGATGTTGTAAGGTATAATATATATCATTTTGGGGCAAGTCTGGTCACTTGATTAGCATTGAATGCTTAGTAAAAACCAGTGAATTTTTTGGGAAAGCAAAGAGAAAGCAAAAATTTTAATTAACAATGATGTGTGACCCGAAAAATCTGCTCCAAAACACGCTTTTTGGTGCTCCAGAGCTGCTCCAAAACACCCCTTTTACTGTTCCAAAGTTGCTTCAAAAGACTGAGGCCCTCGTCTTCCCTTGCATAAGGTTTGAACAAGGTATTGCAAATGCAGCGCTGCGAATCCTTGAAAGAAGTCCATCTATGTGTACTGTCAGGGGTGTCAAGTCCAGCGTCAATGCGGTGTCAAGTCCAGCGTCAGTGGTCTTTCCTTCTGTGAGCATAAATGACCTGATGAATTCAAAGGATGAAGGTAGGGTTACAAAGAATGTAACCCAATCTAGGTCACAGGTGCCCCCAGTAGTGGGGTTGATTCATTACTGCCACTCACTGTTTAGTCGGATATCCTGTGCTCTCAGCCATGGCTCCTATTGCAGCACAGGTGTTTCCGTTTATTATATGTTTGTGAGCCATAGGCGCAAGTATCGCATTCCACTCCTCGAGAGGCCCTGCAATACTTTTTGAGCATGGTCAGAAATTGCTGCTAATCAGTAGTCGACACGTGAGCTCCAAATTACAGTGTGGCTCGTGGCCTAAAGTTTGCAGTTGGTCTTGAAGTCAGCTAGATATTGCTGTTTTTTTTTCTATGCAAATGATGCCATATGCCCAAATTTCTGTGCCAATTACCCAAATCTACGGTGGCTAGCTGATTTGAGCATCATGGGCTGTGTAGTTACCGAAGCCACCACACTGAAAGTAAGCTGGGCGTTTTATGGAAAGGAGGAAAAAAAGTTGATCACAGGCATTCATTATTGTAAACATTCATAGTTGCTGACTAACGAGGACATGTCTTCCCTGCGCACCTATCAGTGCTCATGCTGGTACGAAAGGAAGCATTGTGTAACAATCTCTGCTTGTAATTAATGGATTCCAGATGTCTTTGTGGCATATGACTTGTATAGTGACACTATTTTATGATAACCCAGAAAAATGTTGCTGGACTCCTTTAAAGCTGAAAAGGGCCCTGAAACGCTTTTTCAAGTAACCACGAAATGAATTCACTGGGAAAGCTTATTGCCTCACGAATTCAACGTCGCAAAAATTTTAAGAATCTTTCCAGTGCGAGTGGAGTTACAAAGGTTTGTCGCATGCATTCTCTCTTCTCTCGTCCTAACAATAGCACTGGAAGCTAAGCAGGGAGGGAAGGCAGGGCCACGGAAATCATCACACCCGCCTCGTGGCCTCAAGCACTTTTTTTATTGTTTTTTTCTTCAAATGCGCCGCTTTTCCAGTGTGATCGCGCGCGCACGCGTGGACAAGTCGCGGCCTCTTGCGGCGATCTCTGTAACGAGCGAGCGCGCCATGTTCAAATCAGCCAATGGCTGATAGACGGGTAATTCACGTGTGATTTTTGGGCATATTGTGCCATTTTTCGAGAGAAGAGAAAGTAGTTTTTAGCTGACTTTGATAATTTATTGTGAATTCCAGGCCACGTGCTGTGCTATAATATTTGGCCCGCGTGTTCTCGGGAACCTCTACTACCGATCGGTAGCGTTTTCTGACCATGCCAAGAAGTGTTGCAGGGCCTCTTGAAGCCAAAGCATCCTCAAAGTTTCTTGTAGTAATCGAAAGCTCGAAACCTTTTCCTTGCATGTGGTGGGTGCATAGAAAAACAGGGAAAGACATTTATTAAGGTCAGTCTGAGGGTATTCGCAATTATGCGAACCTTTGCTTGGTTATTGCCATGGGAACATGTACATGTTGTGGAGATAGGTTTGCACTAGGCTTACCTACTAAGCGCAACCGTGTAAGGATGCGATGTCCTCCACTGCCGCTGCGTGCGACGACGCTGCGGCTGGGTTCGTCGTTTTCTCTAACACTGCGCAGAACCACGCACGAAGCAGGAAAATAAGAACAACTAGTTTATTAACCCAAGATGCCGCACAGTGCGACACTCACGGGCTTGCAGGCCGTATAGGGAACTCCGCAAGACCGAGCAAGTACGCTTGCCTAGGGCGCGATGACTCCTGCACAAGGGCCGCAGTCGAAGGCACGAACGAGAAGCCGCCTGCTAAGCAGCGCGTCAGCCTCTCGTGGAGGCCTGAGAGCATCTGCCGCGACGAGCGAATCGTCGGACGTAACATAGCTCGTAAGAGAGGAGGATGTCACACGCACCCAAAGGGAAATGGCAATGCGTTGTGACGTAGGCCCGCGCAGCGTAGCGTGCCTGGACATGCCAGCGCGGAACAGAGCCGAGGCTTGACTCGCCCAGACCAAGAGGCGCCCTGGCAGCCATCTTGGCGAATGCCGGTGATTATACGCGCCCAAGCTACGCGGTCGGCAGCTGGGGAACAAGGCGCCTGGCACGGGGGCGCTCTCGATTCCCACAATGTTTACCACTGCTCTCTGTAGACACCATAATGCTGGCGGAGCCCTTGCCTGTACGAAACTTTTATTGATCTCCTGATTATTTTTTTAATTGCATTTAAATCATATACAGTAGTGGATAGACAACAACAATGCACATTAAGCTGCATAATGGGGCACCCATCATATTGGCTATCACAGCTATTACAAGGTTTGTATTGATGTTAATTTACTAGAGCATAGCACTAATCAAAACTCTATCATAATTTTTTCTCTGCTCGTGCACTGGAAAGCAACGGTCAATTTCACCATCGCGGTTAGTTTTTTGGGGTCTCTCAATTTTTCTGACATTCCTGCAGCGTTGTTTAAGAAAAAAATCTGTTACTCTCTAAATATGTTTTATTCTGACATAAGGTTGAGCTACTCGGCAGGAATTCATCAGGAAGTAAGACCTGCAAGCACAGGCATAAAAGAAAAAAAAAACAGACAACAATAACATGGTGTTTTGTGGATGTTCACAGGCATTCATGATTGTAAACATTTATAGTATGCCACCAATGGTGGCATTAGTATTCGTCACTCACAGATCAGTTGGTGGCTTCGGTGAGTAGCTATGATCTTGCCTTGGCTATGGCTTGCACCCGGTAAAAAAAATCCCCCGAAAAGCATATGAATTTTGTAAGGAAATATTCGCTGCTCACCTTGGTGCACAAGGGCCTAGTATACGACGGAGGAATTTGTTATGAAAGTGAGAAGCTCTTGACCTAACACTATCATTGGCTGCAGGCTCAGGGAGGAGCGCAAGCGCAGGGAGCAGCAGGAACGGGAGGAAGCTCTCAAGGATTCGGGCAAGACAGTTGCCGACAAAGCAGCGGTGCCATCTCCACCAAGGGCTCTGAAGCCCACCACCAACACTGCAGCCAATAGTAAGGTGTCTTTTAACGGAGAAATTCTAGTGCACATGTGTCAAATTTTTTAGAGGCACACTAAAGAGAATAATGATTTCACTAGTATTAGTGAACTATGCTTCATCAATACCGAAAAGACCAGTGTTGCCATGAGAACACTTGTTGTAAGTGTTTTCCTCGAAAGGAAAATAGCTTTGCCTTAAAGTTTGCACAGCAGCTTGCTTCGATGTGATGGTGTCTTTCAACAATGTTTCTAGAACTACGTCACTGTCGCATGGCTCTGCCGAATCAGAGGTGGCAAGTGGCACTGTAGTCGCATTGGGCTGCAGCAAGTGCAGCAGCTATTACATCTGTTACCGTCTCAGACGCATAAATGGGGCTTTATTGACAAACAGCGAGTGAATTTTGTAATACGCAGCAGAAGACATGAGTCATGTCATACGTCCACAGTGTCAACGTGTTTTGTGCTGGGCTACACGGCGGTGATAGGACTCACAATTGACCACGGCACTCTTAATATAGTGCCAGTACTCTCGGGCTCAGCATCATCAAGTGGGATAAAAAGCTGCCAGACGAATGGCCAGTTGAGGTACATGCAAGTATTAATTGCAGGAAAAGTTTGTCTATTGCTTAATGGGGCTTACGTCCCAATGCTACTCAGGCTACAAGAAATGTCATAGTGGAGGGCTGTTGACGATTTAATGCTACAATCTGTGGTTACTTAACGGTCACCAGAATATCTAAACACATGGGCATTTTGTTTTTGCTGCTATACTGAAATTGGAAGGCTGCGATCGAAATCAAACCTGTGTCTTTTGTGTTAGCGGCCGAATAGCTTTAAAGGGTCCCTGAAATGGTTTTTTGAAGTTTGGTCAGCGTTTTGGCTAGAGCGTCGTCAAACCATTCCCACCACAAATTTAGTGACACTCTGTGTACCAAGACCACCATAGTAAAATACCACTTCAACGAAACTGGAGGGACGCGTAAAAAAGTTTGTTGTTGCGGTATTTCGTTGTAGCGAAATGTCATCTGTAGACGACAAAGATCTGATGATTGTGACTCGTCTTTTGGTCCCAGCAAGTGCATGCATTGAACTCTCGCTTACTGAGCGGCGCCTGGCCGAACACTGAGTGAACGTATTTTCTAACGTCTAACGCGATCAAAATATACAAAAAATTTGGAGCTGAAGTCGGGATATGGGTTATACCAGAATTTGGGTGCACAAGTTGGCTTCACGGCAATGCAAAAACAGTGGCCTAGCCTTGATACGCGGGTAGCTTTTATTCTTCCTCCCGAGGGTTGCGTTCGGGGGTGCCGGTTATATGCAGGGGTGAGTTATACAAAAGAAAATACGATATTGATAAGAAGTATCACTACCAGGAAAAACAAGGGAAGCACGGGTAGAGAATGAAGATGATGTTGCCTCCACTGCGATCCCTCTGAGTGGTACGAGCCATGGCGGTAGAGATCATCATCATTATACTGTGATCACGGACTCAGGGCCCATTAAAAAACCCCCATTAAGTTACCTTGCCTTGTGTAACAATTTGGTGGAAGGTGCTGGTTAGGACGAACCCAAAGTCGGGAGCTTCACTACCAGGACTTCGTCGCAGCCGCTGCCTAGCCAGACTTCCACCTTCGCCGATCGTAATGGCCCAAGAGCAGCCATCAAGCTCAGCTTCAAGGCCAACTTTGATGGGTTCCGTGCCGTACTACAAAGTGCCACCAAACTTCGGCGGGACCTCAGGAGAAGACGTCGACGTGTGGCTCAAGAACTACAAGCGGGTGAGCAGAAGCAATGGCTGGGACTCGAAGAAACAGCTCAGTCATGTTGTATTCTCATTAACTGACACAGCCCTCATGTGGTACGAGAACCACGAGGACATGTTCACAACTTGGGAACGTTTTGTTGAAAAAGTGCAGAAGTGTTTCGGTGATTCGGTCGCAAAGAAGAAACGCGCGGAGAAGACATTGTCTCAGAGGGCACAGCTTCCAGGAGAAACATGTACGACATACATTGAAGAAATATTGAAGCTGTGCAAGATCGTGAATGGGAGGATGTCTGAAGAAGACAAGGTTGTACACGTTCTCAAGGGTATAGCTGAAGACGTGTACAATTTCTTAATTGGGAAAGACTGTTTGAACTCCATGTCCGACGTGATGAAGCACTGTCGTACCTTTCAATCCCTCAAGATGCGACGAATTTCTACGAAATTCGGCCGCCTGTCCAACGTCCCCACTGTGGCTAGTGTTGAAACAGTGCCGCCTAACGACCTTGCTTTGACCATACGGCAGATCGTCAGAGAAGAGCTGCTTTGATGTCAGCAGCCTTATCATTGCCCCAGTGATTTTCAGGATTTGTACGTAAACGAACAAGAACGTGTGCGAACTCCTGTTTCTCTTCCATCATGGCAACCATCGATCAATGCAGCAGACGCTTATGAATATCAAGGCACACGGCAGGCTGGATTCCCCCGTCAACCACCTCCCAACTACGAATGAAGTTTTTGCTCGCCTGTTTACCCAACATCGCCTGCCTACAGTGCCCCTGAAGGGCGGCACCACTATCCCATGCCTTCCGAGAGGAATCGTTACTCTGAGCAGGCACGGGCCCCTTGACCAATTCTGGTATGCTACAACTGTGGCGTCCCGGGTCATATTGCACGTTTTTGTGACCACCGCCCATATCAGCAACAGTCTCATGTCTCATCAACCTTTCGACCATCCGCACTCCACGTCACGGAAACCACGCGCACCTACCGGGTCACGCTAGCCCTCGCCGGCCTCTGATCGAAGTTTGACGCCACCACCAGCTCCCCGCGCTTCATGATCGCCGTCGCTACGGCGACGCGCACGTACATTGCCGCCGAAAAACGAGTCGGTGTGGCCAGTGGGGGTGAGGCCGCGAGATCACAGGTGCTATCTACAGATATACCCTCGTCAGCGTTTATGTTGAAGAACAAAGTTCATGTAGTTGTCGATGGAGTGGCTACTATGGCACTTGTGGATACAGGCCCAACAGTCTCGGTGATGAGTGTAAATTTTAAGAACCTGCTAAGACCAAGAGTGATATTTTGCCTGAACTGTGGGGTGACATTTCGTAGTGTAAGTGGTGACGTGTTGTGTCCGTTGGGATGTTGTACTTTGGACGTCTCGCTGTGTGGCAAGGTGTTTTGCACAGAATTTGCGGTTATTCCGCGGTCTACACATGACGTCATCTTGGGTATTGACTTCTTGCGTGTGGGGCAACTGTAGACTGCAGAAGTGGGCATCTTTCTATACACGGTACTTTCCCAACGGCGCTCTTGGAAAATTCCTGTCCGGAAGAATGCATCTTTTTCGTCTCCGTGGATACAGTCGTTCCTGCATTTTCTGCTGTGTGTGTTCCCGTGACATGTTTCAGCAACAACTGCGGCACGTTTGACGCCACGCTCGAACTGATTCCCTTGGCATGCCTGAAAAAGAACATTCTCATTCCCCATTGTATAGTGTCAGTTGTTGATGGACGGGCAGGTGTGTGGACAGTGAACAGTTCCATGGAGCCTGCAACTCTGTCAGGCGGCATGAAACTTGCAGTACTGTTTAGACACGAGTCATGTACGACGCTGGTTGCGCTTGTTGATGCTACAAGCCAAAATGAACATCTAGGCTTAGAAGGTTCAGAAGATGCCCTATTGCTACAAATGGTTAGCCTGTCACTTGACCAAAGCGAATGTCTTACACTGCTCGACGTTGTATCTAAGCACTCGAAAGTGTTCGATTTTTCTAAATACAGCCAAAGGCCCTTAATCCCAGCGTTCCGGATACGTCATCAGATCCACACCGAGTTGGCGCATCCCATTAGGCAGGAACCTTACCGAGTGGCGCCATCGGAGCGCAAGTTCATCAACGAGCAAGTCCAAGAAATGCTGGAAAAGGGAATAATACAGGAATCGGCAAGTCCGTGGGCTGCTCCCGTCATTCTAATGAGGAAGAAGGATGGTACGTGGAGATTTTGCGTTGACTACGGCCGACTGAATTCTGTTACCAAGAAAGACGTCTATCCACTGCCGCGCATCGATGACGCTCTAGACTGCCTGCATTCGGCGTCCTACTTTCCATCTTTCGACCTGAGATCAGGTTACTGGCAAATTCCGATGCAGGTAGCTGACAAAGAAAAGATGGCATTCGTTACGACCGATGGACTTTACGAGTTCAACGTTATGCCATTCGGATTATGTAATGCTCCTGCGACATTCGAAAGATTTATAGACACTATATTGCGCGGTTTAAAATGGCATATATGCATGTCTTACCTTGATGATGTCGTAATTTTTGGGCATACTTTTGAGGAGCACAACACTCGCCTAGACGTCGTGCTCAGCTGCATTGAAAAAGCTGGCCTTGTATTGAAATCAAAAAAGTGCCACTTTGGCGAGCGACAGACATTGGTGTTAGGACATCTCGTCGACAAAGATGGCATTAGACCTGACCCACAAAAGACAGCGGCCGTTGAATCGTTCGAGCGTCCTAAATCTGTCAAGCAACTGCGTAGCTTCATCGGGCTCTGCTCGTATTCCCACCGGTTTGTACCCAAGTTTGCGGATGTCGTTCACCCCTTGACGAGCCTTCTATGCAAGAACAGCCCGTTTCAGTGGACCTCCAAGTGTGATGCCGCTTTTCACAACCTGAAGTGTTTGTTAACTTCACAACCAATACTTCGGCACTTCAATCCTTCGTCGCCCACAGAAATTCACACAGACGCAAGCGGCATCCGTATCGGTGCCATTCTCGTTCAGCGTTCTGGCAATAAGGAACACGTTGTGGCGTACGCAAGTTGTTCTTTAAGCAAGCCTGAACGCAACTACTCAGTGACCGAACAGGAATGGCTAGCGGTAGTCTTTGCCATGCAACGGTTTCGCTCATACATCTGTGGTCGCCCATTCACTATCGTCGCAGATCACCATTCACTGTGTTGGCTGGTCAACCTTCGTGACCCATACGGCCGCCTCGCACGATGGGCCATTCGTTTGCAAGAA